ATATAAAATCAACATTTGCTCTTTCTCTTGCTATTATTATAGAAAATCATAATTTATCAATTGGCCAAATTACCAAATTGAACAAAAACACATCCTTAATTCTTTACCTTTCAAATATCAAAACTCTTTACAATATAATAATATTTAACAGTTCATCAAAATTAATATGAAAAGAATTCTACATTCACAAAGGATATGTTATCAAGAGTTCTATATCTAAATGATTTAATAACTTAGTTAATACAACCTCACCAATTCTGAGCAACACTCTTCTACTATCCAATTGGTGATCAAAATTCTGAACATACTTTGCTAACACTAATATTTATCTTATTAAAGTTAAAACTAATGCTATAACATGACCAGTTTTAAATAAAAAGCACTATATTTTTGCTTCATATAACTAACAAGTTATCAACTGTTCTTGCCTTAATCAATCCTGCATAAATACTAAGCATATAAGTTAGTTGTACTTAACTTGGTTATAGATGAACTCATATTTATTTTTACACCAGTTCCAATAACTTATTTCCAATTAATGATTCATAATCCAATTACAACCTTTCAACCCCTCAGCAACACAATTATAATAATATATTATTCTCACTCAGATCTTTTATTAGTGCTATGAAAAAACAGAACAGGAATAGTGCTACGCTACTCAGTACCTGGTTATGACTACCTAAATTATTTTAATAACTATTGCTTGCTCCCTTGTTGTTTTCTCCTTATTCGTTAATATGTTTTCCACTGTTTTACCTAATTACCTCCTTATTATTTTATACTTACCAATATATGCTGGCCTCCTGTTAATGTTTCCTTAGTCACATTTCCATTATGCTTTGTGATTTCAAAATAAATAAAAGTATCGAGAACTGGAATCATGCATGATAACCTGCAGTGTTTTTAAAATATTAGAAAGCAAATCGTTAAGCGAGCTCGGCTAGTTAACAAGTAAGTTTCCAAGCATTCACTTATCTACCCATCTCACTTATTTCTTTCTTTTACCATCCACTCCATTTTCCTAATATGCTAAGCACATTCGTGATTTCAAAGAATATAATATAGGATATCAAGAACTGGGAACATGCATGATGATCTGCAGCCTATTTGAACGTTGCAAAGCGAATCATTGAGCAAGTTTAAATAGTCAATGGATAAGTTTCCAAGCATTCGGTACTTCTGTACATCACACTTTCTTCTTTTACGAATCTTCTCTTCTCTTAATTATTCCTTTTTTCTCCCTGTTAGCTTTGGAAGGATGGGAGGGCCTATACGAAAGAGCCAGATAGAAAATCAGGCAGCGAAGAAAACAAGTACTGATGATCCCACTATCACGTCATAGCTACTCAAATTTGTAACACAAATCACATGTAAGGTGATCTTCGTGATTAGGGCTTCTAACGGTACCAATTTGATATCAGTTTGATATCAGTTTGATACTTAATTTACTATAAATTTATATGAGTGGGTTACAACCCATATATTAAATTTATTATAGATCGATACCATTTTGATACCACTTCGATATCGGTTCGATACTTTTCGGAGCCCTATTTGTGATAATAACCCTTGTATGACTATCGTCATGCATCGGGTCTATTATTCTCACTCAGATCTTTTATTAGTACTATGAAAAAACAGAATGGGAAAATACAGAGTATCGAATGCTTATGCTAAAAGCCCATTTTTGCAGATGTACTGTATAATGTTGTCGAAAAAGCTCTAAGATATAATGCTACTGACTAAAATAACCATCCTCAAATACTCATAATTTGAGGTAAACTTAACCTTGCTTTCATTGCTTCCGTTGCTCCTTCAATACGTATGCTGTGTTCTAAATACTTACCTACTAATCCAGCATGTTCTACTACTCTCTTTACTATAGAATTAATAGTACCTGTTGTCATCTTTCTTTCATTTATATTCACAAACAAGGGATCGTGATCATTCAAATTTTTTCTAAGACTTAGATATTCAAGAACCAATTTCACAGGACAATACTTTGATGTCATCATTTCTACTGGTATAAATTTTCAATTTGCGAATTGATCTGTTTTGGATTTATTAATTCTTACCCAACAGATATTACTAACAAACTTTAAATCTGCTATTTGAAGGTTGCATAACTCTGATGGGTAGCGTATTGTACAGAGTCCTAAGGCAATTATTGCACAGTTTCGTTTCCAAAGTATATTTGATATTCCAAGTGGTGAATTATTAACATAATATCATAAAGCACTAGTTGGTAGTGGATCACGCGGCCACACTGCTTCCTGTTCCATCGTCCATGATTTTCTTAACTTTTTTGCTAAATTCTGTACTTTTATATCAATTGTAGGATCTGGCAGATTATTTTCTAAGTGATATTTTCTAATCACAATTAAATAGATTCTAAGATCACCCATTTTGTATAAAATATCATTCCATGTTAGGAACATTAATATAGTGTCTGGTTGTGCTGGTTGCGCTTCCAATCCATGAATTTTACAAAATGTATTAAAATTCATCCAGTATGAATAAAGTCGTTTTTCATAAGCCGATTTTGTTGACAAAAGCCTATATGCTTTATTTAATAATTCTTCTAAAAATGAATTTTTACTGCTTGAAATCTCCATTGATCGTTCTTTCAAGGTTCTGGTATTAAATTGCTTTTGGGATTTGGTTGAAAGCTGAGTTTTGCTGGAGGTAGCATTATTTTTTCCATTTTTTGTTGCATAAGTATTGGCCACCATGGAGCTGATAGCCATATTGGTATAATTATTGTTATTTGTGCTTGGCATTGCTTTCTATGTTTGAGTACTTTGTGTATTAAACTCAGCAGAGGACATATATAATTGTTTTCGTAGTTTCATTCTTGTGTAAAACAATTTGTAGCCTCCGATTCTGGACAATAATAGTGGCTGTTGAACTGATTTGTCTTCCTTGACAAATAACTTGCCATCCTGTCTATTGTAAATGGTCCCTATTTTAAATTTATCATTTCAAATATATCTTTTGTCAGCATTCAATCTGACTCATCGAAAAATCTGATTAACTCGTCGGCTAGATTCAATCTGGTAGAAATCCATTGAAATTCATGAATCTGTATATTGTATTGGTCACAAAAGTTCAAACTTCTCGCATAATTTCTTTTTGCCATGGTCGTTTTTCTCCTGCTTTTATTGTTTTTCATGCTATACGATTGTCTATAAATACTTTTATTACTCATTCTTTTATATCTGTAATGAATGATTCGAGACCCAGTAGTACTGCCAATGCTTCCAAATACGCTATGTCTATATGTTGATGCTTGTATTCCCAATTTCCAAAGGCTTTTTTGTTTCCAAGTACTGCTGACCATCCTATTGTTGAGGCATCTACAAAAATAGATATAATTTGGGATGGTTTCCATGCAGGTTTTTCATTTTGTTTTCTGAGATTTTCTATTATCCATTTTAAATCGTTCTTTGCTTGAACTGTTAATATTACTTGATTGTTTCATTGCCATGATTTCCTGTTTTCTGCATCGATTATTGTATAAAGCTCTAGGCAACGAACTTTCGCATGTATAAATGCTTGGTTTAAACTAATTATTTTTCCTGTTGTTGCTGTCAACTCACATGCTGTTATTGATTTTGCCTTTAATATTGTTTATAAATTGTATATTGTCTCTTTTATCTTCATATCTGGTGCTGATACTATTCCTGTTACCATATTTAGAATCAATCCATAAAATTTTGCTTTTTGTGTAAGTTCCAATTGATTTTTCTTGGCTAGTACAAATTCACATTTCATTAAATCTGATAGAATTATTAAATTTCGGATATTTAATAGTATTTCTCGATTTGGATGTGCAATCCACATATCATCCAGATGATTTTCACAAAAAATTCCTAGGGATTTCAATAACTAATTACCGCTCGTATTATTTTTGAAAAAATCCAAACTGCCTGGCTTAGACCGAAAGGCATTACCCAATAATGATACCATTTTCCTTTTATTTGAAATCCCAGTAGCCATTGTGCTTCTTTGTTCATTAGTATATGATGATAACCCTCCTTTAAGTCTAATACAATTATCCACCAATTTTCATCCAATCATACAAAGAAATGTTTCAAATTCCTCGAATTTGAATGTCTTTTCTGGTAGTGCAGCATTTAGTCGTCTCAAGTCGATTACTAATCTCCATTTTTTGCATCCTTTTTTTGGAATTAAGAATATTGGACTAACTTCCAGCAATATTTTTGGATGCTTGTGGGAACTGGATACTAATATAATTGCCTGTGTTTTGCTTAGCCTTTCTATTTCCATTTCTAACCAGGTGTTTTGTTCTTTGGTTAATGGATAATGAAGTGAATCTGCTTGATTCATTAGCATTATTAATCCCCTGAAAAATAAAGGTATGCCATGCTCCAACCAATCTATTACTAATTTTGATGCCTGTATTTTCATTTTCCAATATGTTATATGCTGTTCTAAGTGTAATCGTCCCATTACTGATATCTGATTTTGTACCCAAGTGTAGTCAATCATGTTTCCTGTTCTCGTCATCTCTACCATTGTAGTTTCTATCATATTTGTTTTTATAGGATGTGTATCCTCGCGAATAATATGCTCTTTGCTTGTAATTGTCTTTGTTTGGATCTGATGGGCATTCGTTCATATAATGCCCATATCCCTCACAGATATAACACTTACTGGAGTTCGAGATTTTGTTTTTGTTTCTGTAGTTGGAATAAAAAAACTTATTGGAATCATAATATTTATTCTCTCCATACGCCACATTATTTGTTTTTGCTGACTTATATATTTTTTGTCGTTTTACTTTTTTTACTTCTACAAGTGTTTTATTTAGCCTTTTCAATTAATGAATCCTTTCCTTTTATCCAATCATCTTGTGTGTCGGGTAATGCTGATGCAATATCCCAACCATATCCTTCCACTACTCTCAATATGAACATATGGCTGGCTGCAAGTTCTCATGCATTATTGATGTGATCAATCACCTCAGTTGTACTTCATAATTCCATTGCCAAATCTAATTCCTTTCCAATTTTGTGCAAGGCATTATATTCGTGCTGGTCATAGGACTTTTCAAATTTATGTTTCTGCCACGTTTCATTTACCTCCACTTTTTGTTTTGTATCACGTACTTGTGCCGTTACAGTATTCAATCTGTTATTGAATGTTAACATAGCATTTTTCAACCGTTTAAACTCTGTTAATAATTTGTTCTCTTTAGATTCTGTTTCCTTATCATTTGATAATGGACATTTTCTATTATTTGCTAAATTCAACTTAGATTCATCCCCATTATTCTCAACTGTCGTCAACTGTTCTTTCTCTAATTGGCTTGTTAATGTGCCTGGTCATTCCATTTCTTTATGTAACAAATATGCCAACTTCTTTAGAGTTCTTGCTTGCTGGTTCAGGTTGCCTATTTCAGATGTATCAGAGTAATTATCATAAACCACTGTGTTTGTATCTTCGTCTTCTTCTCTACCATTCCCTTCTGTATCACAGCTATCTGCACGGCTTTTACCCTTGAGATATCTTCTTATTCTTTGGACTAAATCTGCTTTTACGCCATCTGTAGCAATCCCTAATGCTTGGCAAACATTTTTGAAATCAGTTTTTGAAATATTCGTGTCAGTCATTACTAGTCATAGGTAGTCAATATACGAAAGAGCCAGATAGAAAATCGGGCAGCGAAGAAAACAAGCACTGATGATCCCACCATTACGTCATAGCTACTTAATATCAAATTTGTAACACAAATCACATGTAAGGTGATCTTTGTAATAATAACCCTTGCATGACTATTGTCATGCATCGGGTTTATTTGAATGTAATAGAGGTAAAGATCCAGGTCTACTCTTAATATATACAAACAGCTTCAATATCTAAATAAATTTTTGGCCTATTCTTAATCAAATTATTATCAACATAGTTTCAAACTCATATATAATCTGTAAAGCCTTACTTTATAAGATTTATACATTCCAGAATATATTAACAAACAAGTTAAAATATCTTATTCCAAACATATCCATATAATCAATTTCAAAAACCTTACAATTATTTGAAAAAAAAATTATCAACAAGATTTAAACTACCACAAATTCTATTATGCTATCCTAATTTGTCACCTATATTATTTACTATTTTATTACTAATTAACAATATTAATGCTACTAGTATAATCCACTTGATCAAGTTTATTAATCTTTATACAAATACTTTTGACTTGGCTCTAAGCCATATAGTTCTCTACAAACCCAAATTATTAATACAATTTGAAACAATAATTAAAATAAACAAAAAGCTAAGGCAATCTGACCAGATCAAATACAAAGTCCTATTAACATTTCATATCAAGCTTATAGCAAATAACTTTTGACAAGATCTAAACTATACAAAAGATGTTTAACACTATATTTAGACAATTTGTGTCCTGATATAACATAAAAAAAGAAATTCTAAACCACATTCTAGTTGTTTTCATGGCAAGAGATACAGTATATCAATAAAAAGAAAACAAAACTCATTAGTCTTATTCAAATAAGTCAAAATATAAATAATATGACACCTGACAATACAGTTTAATTCTTCAATACAATCAAATAATAGAGCAATACATCTTCCAAATAACTCTAGATATTTTTTTTCTCTATTTAGCAGCATCAAAAAAAACAAAGAGAATATACCCAACAAGTCCTTGTAAATTCTGTACAAAGTCTATAAACAAAGATCTGAAACTGCAATAACATCACTCTCTACTGAAATAAAATAGACAAAACTAAGGCAAATAACTACACTTTTCAGTTCAAAAATAATAATAATTTTTTTAAAAAAATCTTAAATATATTAAATGCAAATAACTTAAATACTAACAAATTAATATTTATCTTATCATCAGTAACTTTGTTCTAAATAAACATTAGCTATTTAGCATTAGTTGTGTTAACCTAGTTATGCAATATATAGTTGATATTACTAATTTTGTTGCAATAGGCAACAATTAATTTACTTCATGTAAAGATTGTTAATGTGAGAGTCCTTCAAGGTCCTCTCTATTAATTAAGTTTTTAAGGCTGAGGTGTAATAATTTGGTCCGAGTATCCTGCTCTTTTACTAAAAAATAAACTCAAATTCAACCGTTAGCATGTACATTCGCCTACTTAAACTATACCTAAGTTCCTGTTGTAGCAATGATGCATTCACACTTCCAAACTACTCTTGAAACTCTTCCAAAGTCCTTTATGGTCG